GAGGAGCTGACCTCTGCTCACCCTCCCTGTGCACTGTGTTTACCTGCATCTACTGTGCCAGCCGCTGGGAGGGATGCCTCGCATGTCATCCAGCACTGCTAGGAACCCATGTAAGCTCTCAAACCCTTGACAGTAATTATGCATGTCTCCATAGTCCTATAAGGAGGAGGAAGCAAGAGGGACAGCCATGGTTCTGTGGTCCCCAATCAGTAAAAACAGCATCACTTTGTTAACATGCCTACTAAAATTGGAGCTGTATTAGACTGGGGGTGTACCTCCATCATAGAGCACTTGCCTACATAAGGTTCTGGGTTCAGTCCCTAGCACTTAAAAAAAAAAAAAAGGTTATTTGGCCAATGACCAGTCTTTAAAAATGTGGTTTGGTGATACAAATAAAATAAAATAATGGAAAACATTTTCAAACTCTATAATTGCATGTTTAAAGATGCTTCTGTAGCTGGGGAAAGATAATTTCGTTCTTAGCATTTCTAATATATTTGTGTCAATGACTAGCTGAATTTTATGAACTAGTTTCCCTTTCTTCACATGAATAAGGAAAAGTGTAGCAGCAGCAGCTGTTGCCACCCGACAGAGCAAGCAGGGCCGGGAGTTTAGAGGACAGGCAGCCTTTGTAGGCCAGTGCTACAGTGATCTCTTTTGACAAAATGGTACGTTCTACATCATCCACTCTAGTAGGTCACCTTAAAAGCAACAAGCTGATTCCTTTAGACCAAAGATGGCCACCTGCAGGACAGTCAGAATGGGTGCTTACCTCCTTACCTCAGCAGGCAAGAGTTGCCTTCTGCAGAGCTCCGTGGACACTTGAGCACAGGAAGAAATGGATCAGGCGGGTTTTCTAGGCATCCAGGACTGGACTTCCTATGTAAATTTCCATTTCATCTTCCCATGCTCCTCCTGAACTCAAATTCAGCTTCCACTTGGAGGTCTCTGCCCCCGCAGAGTTTTAACCTCCTTGAATTTCAGGTAGAGCCTGTAATACTGGGGCTAAAGGCAGCTTCATCCAGTGCAGTGAATGGCACCTTGCAGAGCCAAGGGAGTCAGGTGGCCGGGAGTAGAAGGTGGAACATGAGTGGAGTCCCTTGGTCCTGCCTACAGCTCCTGGACAAGTCTCTTTACAAGACACCGTATTGATGAATTGAGAGACCTCAGAGTCCAGAGGACTAAACTGTCATGGTCCGGGGCTGCATGCCAGCCATTGGGAAGGACCTACAGCTGCGGGGGAGGGGAGGGGAGGGGGAGCTTCCTGCCGTTGCCCCGACCGTGTGTGCCTGAGGCCCCCTTACTATGCCCCCCCACTTCATTGGTGCAGTGGAAGCAGTCGTGCCCCTTCTTTATGAAGGAACTCGTGGGCTGCAACGCTGCTGCACTGTCGTCCTGCGCCTGCCCCTGACTTGCAGGGAAAGTTCTGTGTTAAGTTCCTGTCATTGTGACAACAGACCTGAGTAAATCCACCTCAAGGGTGAATGGTTTGCTGTGGGACACAGTTTCAAGGCCTTTAGTGTATGTTGATGTGGGATCTGTTGATGTGAGGCAGAAAGCCATGGTGGAACAAAGCTGTCTGCCTTGTGGCAGCCCGGAAGCTGGAGTCATCGGAGAAGAGGGACCCTCAATTGAGAAAATGGCTCCATAAGATAGGGCTGTTGACAAGCCTGTAGAACATTTGCTAATTAGTGGTTGATGGGGGAGAGCCCAGCCCATTGTGGGTGGAGCCACCCCTGGGCTGGTGCCTCTGTGTAATATAAGAAAGCAGGCTGAGCAAGCCACGTGGAACAAGCCCAGAAACAGCACCCTCCATGGCCTCTGCATCAGTCCTGCCCCAGGTTCTGGGCCTGCTTGAGTTCCTGTCTTAGCTTTCTTCAGTGACGAACTATAATGTGGACATGTAAGCTAAATAAACTGTTTCCTCCCCACCTTGCTTTGGTCATGGTGTTTCATTGCAGCAGTAGTAACCTTAACTAGAGCAGGGTCCCAGTATTCCCTTCAAGGGCCTGCCTCCAAAGGCCTCACTTCCTTTCACACTGTCCACTGCCTCCTAGTAACATCACACATTGGGGACCAAAGCCTTTAACACATAGGTCTTTGGGGGACATTTCAAATCAAAACTACAGCAAGCGGCATTTTACTTGCTAAGTCAGAGAAGGCAGTGCTGTTCAACAATATATGTAGGCCCCACACATTCTGAAGACACAGCACCCCATCTCCCCACTTAGACCAGGCAAGGCGGCCACTGCAGTGGGAGAGAACCTATGTTTGCATCTTCAAGAACCGTCTAGCGTGATCGCCAGCCCTACTGCTATTTCCAGCCCTTTCAGAAGCTAGGCCTGTAGCTCCAAACAAGACATACTACCACCTGTAAGGCTCAGGGAACATGTGGAAGAGGGACTGGGAGTATGGAAGAGCCAGAGTAGAGTGAAGGGCTACAAAATGCCACTGTCTGGAATTGATGGCTGTTGCGGCCATTCAGTCACAGTGGAGGTACCCACACTGGCCCACACAGGACTTCCCTGTCAACAGGTCAAGGAAGGAGCGGACCTCACGGGGCCCACCCTTTATCAGAAATGCTAGCTGTGATTGGTAGACTCTGGGAGAGGGGAACCACTTTAGTTACCTTTAGATGCAGACCTGCTGCTGAGCCCACCAGAGTCTAACAGATAGCTCCAAGTTCATGGGCACACAGATGGCCCTGTGATGTCAGTGAGTCATAAAGCAAAATGAATCGACCAGAGCACAGATGTGTGGGGAAGAGGGTTGACAGGGTTGATAGGAAGCAGCTGTAAGAGTGGCAAGTGTGCATCACATGCACGTGTGAAATTGTCTAAAAGCACGTTTAATTCTTAAAAAAAAAATAGCACATAAAGTATAGAAAATTTAGCATTAAAAAGAGAGAAGGGCCCAGGGCAAAGCAGCCCCAGACTGAAGGAGTTCCCTGAAGACACGCGTTGTTGGTATCGTTCTGCTTTCAGACCCTGGGACACTTTCCTCTTGAGCAAGGCTGGTACAAATGGACAACTGTATGCCTCTCCTCAAGAAACCCCCGCCCTGAGCATCTTAGCGTGTCCTGTTCTCGCATAGTGTTAGAGAGCAACCACCAGTTGAACAGGCTACTTGCCTGAACCTTGTGTGTGATCCTAAGGATTGGGATGTGGACATAACAGGTGAGCATTCGACCCCAGGGCTTGTTGCCTTCAGCCAGCCCATGTGCAGAGAAGACACCTGCCTGGGGTGCTGGGGCGACGCAGAGAACGGGGTCTCCAGGCCACATGGACAAACATTCTGCTCACTTGCAGCCAAGAACCCTTCCCCTGCTTCATCTAGACATGGCCTCTTTCCTTGTCTTGGGAGGAGTCAGTTTGCTTCCCAGCTTTGGAGTATTGAGTCATTGTTAGGGTTAATTTATTGCTTGCAGCCAGCTGGTTGTAGCCATGCTTTGTCATGTGAAGTTGGCTGGCTGCACATATTGGTAAGCCTCTCCAGTGCAGTGCTGAATACTTGACTTGCAGATTGCAAATGCTTGGCACCCCAACCCTCTTACAATTAGGGAGCGAGAGGGGCGGTTACAGATTCTCGGTGTGTTTAACCCAACCTTGCTTATCCAGACAGATTTTCACCAAATTTAGTTCTGAGTAATGTCTTCCAACAGCTTAGGGCTCCAAGAAAAGTACACAAATAAAAACCGTGTGTGCAGACTGTGGTCTTAAACATCAACATGGGGAGAAAGGCAGATCACTGTTGGTAATGAATGGTCTCCAAGGGCCAGGCAGACAGCAGGGGGGGCACAGGAGGTGCACTGAGCCAGCTCTGAGTGCAGCTTAGGCTGAGTCCCAGGGCTACTGGAGATGGAAGTGAGCAGAACTCAAAGGCTGGCAAGTTGACTAGGGACATGACAGAAAGGAAGTAAAGGGCGTTCTAAGTAGGCAAGAGAAGGAG